GAGGCGAGGTAGAGGGATGCCGGGGAGCCGAGGCCGCCGAGGCCGATTATCAGGACCTACATGAAGATACGGTGGGTTAGTGGGCTGGCTTGGTGGTGGGCTTGGAAGGGGAAGAGAGGCTGTATTGGAGTGATGAGGGGGGAGGGGGAGACGGGGGGTTTCAAGGAGACATACTTTGGCTTTTGAGATTGCTTCCTGCCCGCGGATGGAGATGGATGGGACGAGGAGTTGGCGGTGGTAGCGGGAGGTTGAGAGCGGGTGGGGTGGGACGAGGAAAGGGGAGGAGGAGGAGGATGCTATTGGCAGAGACTTTGAGGATGGTGAAGTCATGGTAAGCTTTTTATCTGCTGTATGCGTGGTAGCAGGGAGCATGCCAGCTGAGGAAACAGAGTCCGAGATGGGACTTGATATCACGAAGGGTTTGCTGGATGAATCAGGTTGGGAGGTTGGTGGGTATTCAGGCTCAGTTTGGGTTGTCGCCAATGGAGGAGATTTGTACAGGTTCTTGTTGTTGGAGAAAGGCTGTATTCTACCTGGACTCAATCAACAGTTGGTGTGGGCCACGCAAGAAAGTCAAGAAGGAAGCTTGAGTATAAATGATCACTGTATCTGGACACAAGCATTGCTGCTCTCGTTTGTTCTTCTCTTGTCCTTTCCTCTCTCATTGTACACATGGGGTATCATGCATGCTCTGCTATACAACTCGTGGCAAGACCGAAACACCACTTACTCGCCTGATCCCTCAATCAACTGTGGCAGATCCTCAACCTTGGCCCTTCCCTGTAGAATCTCATACACAGCTGTAAATAGGGGGAATTCCTTTTCCATTCCTTGGATCTTCAAAAAATGGTTGACTTCTACCGCAGTAAGCGTTCCTTGCAGCTTCTGGCCGTTGAGCTCCTGAGCTTCCACCTCTTCTATGGGGACTCCTCTCTGGACACTCAATTTGGCGCAGCGGTGATTCCGTCCTCCAGCACAGGTGGTGATCAAATCTGCCACACCGGCCGATTCTTCGGTGAAGGTTCTTGGTTGTATAGTCTTCCCAAAAAATTGTTTGCCGAACTTGACCATCTCGAGCAGCCCGATCCTCATGACAGCTGCCTTGGCATTATCTCCCCAACCAAGCCCGTCTACGAAACCTGCTGCAATGGCGATGATATTCTTCAGAGCACCACCAAGCGATACGCCAGCTACGTCCGACACCACCCGAACTTGGAAGTATGTCCGGTGGAAAAGAGTCTTGAGAGTGCTGTGATCAAGAGCCGGGTACTCTTGCGGGAGAGGTTTGAGCTTGACACCTGACGCTTTCCCTGATACATCTCTATGTGCTAGTTGTGTGAGGTCGGCATGGCTTGACGCTGGACTTGGTCCTCTCGAAGTGGCTGGTGTCGGGTTCTGCGAGTCAACCGAAGGAGGATCGTAGGCAACAGTAGTCTCCGAGAACTTCTCTTGCGCCACTTCATTGGCTATGTTTGCTCCCGAGAGTGCTCCACAGTAGATATCAAGTTCCTTGCCAATCACTTCAGAGAATAGCGAGACCGAATCTTCTTGCACATTTACTCCTTTGATACACGAGATGCCTCTTGCATATGGCAGGATGTGTCCCCGCAACTGTTTACATATGCCACCAATAAATTGATGCGGAAGGTTGAACACTAGGATGGTAGAATCTTTGACGGCGTTGGTGAGGGATGGATTTGCAATCACATTCTTGGGCAAAGGAATACCGGGGAGGTATTTGACGTTCTCATGGAAGTGGTTGATGAGGTGGGTGAGCTTCTGGGGTTTGGTGCTGAGGTCAGAGGAGGCATCATAGTGCTGTGATGACTTTGGCACAGTGATTTCTTCCTCGTACACCCACATCTGGACGTCTTTCTCGAAAATTTCCGAGTGAGCAGCAGTATTCTCGGCAACGACTTTGGCGATTGTTGAACCCCTGCTCTATTAGTTATTTTTGACGCGCGAGCAGCAGATGCACCCACCAATTGCCAGATCCGACGATGGTTACTTTGTGCTTCTTCGCAAAAGGTGTTAGGGAGGACATCTTCTGTTTTAGAGTATCCATTTTGCGGAAATCTTGAGGAAGCAAAGGTGAGGACCGGCGACGAATAAGGCTTGCACTGGTATATGATGCTCTGTGAAGATTTTTCGAGTAGAAAAGAAGCATCAAGCAAGAGAAAGAAGAATTTGTTGACTGTTGACCGAATTGTTGACTGTCGACTTGCCTCGGTTGAACTGGATCCTCAGCAGGACAGGAGTCAAAATAGCCGTTGTTATCGATAACTAAAGAGCCTACGGAGCGGGCATTATACCCTAATAAGCTAGCATACGACATCCTCCAAAGCCACCATTAAATAAACTCAAGCTGTTGGAGAATCATCTCTGGATCAACCAGTCTTCCGCAGCTCTTTGGGAGCGTTGGCCCTGGTTGTGATAAGTGCGCACTTATCCCAAAGGGGTGCTTGAAAGCCACCTTCGTAACCGGTCAAGGAATATCCAATACATCCTAGCCGGAATGGCATGTCTTCTCATGCTGAAGAAGTCAAAATGCCTGCCAGCTAATTGACCGCAGGCTCTCCCACCCCGCGCCCACCCTGCCACTCGCCCTTTGAAGTCTTCCATCAAGCGCACACAAACACAGAAGCAGCCGTCACCTCTCTGGCCATCCTCTTCCACTACCACAGCATTTCCTACAACGAAGAAAGACAAGCGCCATATTAAACACTCGAATCTGATATCCAAAGTCACAAAATCATCTGCCTCCTCCTCTGAAGCCCAGAAAAATAAGCGTCGAAGACAAAAGAAACAGCTTGTTGCTAATCTCGGGTCCTTGGCTGATGCACTGCCTGGGGATGGGCGTGCTGCACCAGATCCGGCTGGAGGTGAGACAAGCAGAGGTGCAGCCTTGAGAAAGCAAGCGAATGTGAATATCATACACCGCAAAAGTATGAAGAGTCGACCCGGCGCGTTGAAGAGGAGAGAGAAGGTTGATAAGGGAGAGAGGGAGAGATTTGCGAAGAACTTGGCTCAGATGAACGGGAAGAAGACGAACAGAACGGAGGAGGATACTGCCGGGCCAGAAAGCGGAAATCTGGTAAACAACCGTTGGGCGGCGCTGAGAGGATTTATAGCCCAGACAATGGAGCAGAAACCTGAGATGAGGAACTGACAGATTGAGAAGCAGAGCAGCAAGTTTCCTCCTTGATTGGATTTGCACGCTCTGTAAAATCACCTTCTTCCTAAGGGTGCTCCCAAATCCAGGCTCAAGCCACGCCTGTCATGTACAGAGTGGTCCAGCTCTCAAGAAGCAGCGTCAGGCACTTCCTCAAGCCAGCTCCACTCCACATCCACCCTCCCTTGCTCTACCCTCGCCAATTTCGCAAAAGTCTTCTCGGTAATGTCCAAATCCCTCGGCTGACACCCAGTACACCTATCCACAACCTTCAAGTCCACAGTCATTTCACCTCTCCTCGCGCGGACCATCTTCCTACACAATGGGTTCAGATTCGGATTCGCACTCGTCGATACAGCATCGAAGAGGGCATGTGACAGAGAGACGATATCGTCACCATCTTTTGATTCGATACCGCACGCACCAAGACCGGGGGCGTAATATGTCAGCTCGCCCTGATAAGGGCCGCCATTGTCGGATGGAAGAGGGAGATCTTGTGGTTTGTTGCGTGCGGAGAGCCCAGCTGCCAGGCCAATGATGAGAATGAGAATGCAGGCTATGACAACGCCGAGAACTATCTTGGTACGCTTGCTTATGAGGAAGTATTGCTTTATGCTTGCAGAGAGGGAGGAGCGTTTTTCTGCGTCGATGGTAGGCGGCACCCAACTTGGTGGGAGAGGGGAAGGCGGATTAGCGTTGAGAGGGCCTCGGGGCGAGGTGACCCAGGGAAATCGTGGTGACTTTGGCCCATTAGTGATAGCTATTTTACTTGTCCTCCATGGAAACAAGAAGGTGTTGGTGGTTGAGGTAGAAGGGTAAGTTGTGGTTGGAGAGGATGCCATGAGCGCATTGGCGTTCCCTTATACGGCGGCTTCAGGCCTCGAAGGTAGGATCTTGATGCAGAGACCCATAGAAGATGAAAATTAGCGTCTGTGAGAGTGGTCGACCAGAACGTCGCGTAACGATCATGAGCGCCGACAAGTCAATTGTCAACCATGTTGAATTGAACCCTCGAGCCCGCTCAGGGGGGTTTGCGGGCACTAAAATACAGCGTGTCGATCAGCCGCTGGGGCGGTTGAAGGGCAATCTGAATCTGTTGGTATTATGTACTTCAGACGACTCCTGCGGCATACTTTTCTTACCTCAATGACACGTGTTCCAACCACCATTCCTATAGTGTTGAGCCCAAGATGAAGGAATCTTAATTTCTCTCAACTAAGCCAGTGAGTGTCTCTACGAATCGTGCCGCCTTGTCTCCTGCATCCAGCGCCTCAAAGCATTCATTAGCACTATCCTCCTCCCGCAGCCTCTGCTGTTCATCCACCAAGATCAGCTGTGACGGTCGACCACATCGCCAGTACTCGATGTGCTTGCCCACGTGGCGAACCTGAACGACTTCCTCTGACTATAATATCTTGAAGAAAAGGTCCCAAATGATCAATGGTCTGGGCCGTTGAGGGCAGCTGCAGTGCAAGGCATAAAAGGTTTCGCTGGGCATCCTAACCCAGCTTTCCAATTTGCGGACTTGTCCCGAATTAGAAACGAATGATTGGCATGTTGTGCATTTATATACCGCTCATATCCGACAGCTATCAAGACACCTATTGGACGATCTTTTCGTCGTCAAGCTTCTCCCCGTGATGTTACTCGGGCGCACGCTCTGCAATATGTCAAAAGCTCATCTTAGGGGTTGCCTCCGAGGGTGCGTTGAGCCGAAACACCGAGTCGTGGTCACTGGAGTGATGTTGAGCATACGTGATCGCCAACTGCGTCTTTCCTATGCCACCTATGTCACCAAGCACCAACCTCAACGGTTCCCAAGACGGGTCGGCGGGTTGGAGCATGTCTCTCATTGCATCCATCTCGGCGCGACGTCCTTTGAAGAAAGCTCGTGTCCATCTGGGGTGCTGAGCCGAGGCACAGGCCACAAGCTTTCAACGTCGCTAGTGAGGTATTTGCACTCGATGCTGAAGAGTAATGATTTACAATCCCAAGATGCGCCTTCGCCTGATCGCCGACCGAAATACTAGTGTATTTGTGCCCTGCGATGTAATCATTATAGTGATCTCCTCTGCCCTAGCCATTTGGATAACGCGTGGAGCAAGAATGATTTTGAAAAGCTCTTTCATATACGTGGCGCCCTTGTTGCAGCATAGGGCTGCTACTTCTGATTCTTGTGCGAATCTGCATAGTTGTAGATTCTTTGGACGACCAAGCACGAAATGCTGTCCATCAATCCGGCCGCTTCCATCTCCACGCATAACACATGCATATCCTCCTTCAAATTGTGTCGTAATACAGGATTCTTGACCAGTGTTGGCCGATACAATCGTGCTATAGTGTAGCTAGGGTTCGTGGTCGAGCCGAGCCAGGCGGAGATCATATACCGCCAACCATATTGCTGACACATTGCGCCAGACTGATGTGCATATGATGACCTGAAGAGCTGATCTGGCTGGGTAGTCGAAGCGTGTATCGTCCTTGCATCCTCGGGTACCGTAGTATCAACTCTGCCAGATGTTGTGGAATTTGGCTTCCCACTCGTGACTGCTGAGCTCGTAGCCACTGTACATTCGTACTGAGCACCGCCGGCGCTTATACAACTGTCATGTTCTTTCAAATCCCCTATTGATCAGTCTCTTGTCTACATCGTATTGCACCACGCCGCCGAACATGTCAGTTGGCTGGCTCACCACCACGGCGGCCCGAAGCGAACCGAGGGAAAGTCGTTAAGCAGCCGCGTCGCCACGGTGGCCGCCGCGTTGTTGCCAATCTCCAGCATCAACGCCACCACCACGTTAAGTACACCTTGATCATTATCAAACTGGTCGTGACGTAGCCCACGAAACAAGACGAGAAGACTAAATCATGGTCGAGTAGTCGTCATCAAGCGCAAAATCAAAGTAGCAATCGTGCTCCTTATCCAGCATGCCTAACGCAGCTTCGGCCGTGGTAGGAAGAATGGCGACATAGACGACGCTGTAGTCATCATGATGTGAACGGCGTACCATCGTCTTTCGGCGATCTCGACTCGGTTCGATTTCGAGGCGGAAATGCTTCAATCAGCCAGCAGAGATATGACTATGGTGTCTGGGGTTAGAGGACGGAAGGAGGAGACAGGATCGCAAAAAGCGCTGTCATCTTGCGCTCAATCGCTTGGTAGACGAAGTTGCCCGAGTACGGCCATAGAGCTCGTACGGCCAGCATGAATGTCTCAATCAAGAAGTTGAGGTCGTATCAACGAGCCAGGTTTGGAGAAAGCGATTTATTCACAAGAACAAATGGAAAGTAATGAGAGTGTCGCAGATGAAAAGCAGCAATACCAATCACCACTCTCTCTATTGACTCAAAATAGATGCCACTCAAGATGTAGTCGCTAATTGGATAATGGTTGATGCCCTTCTCTATAGTGTTTCTCCCTTTACAGAATGTTCTTATCTATCTCGAAGACACAAGACAACCAACACAAAAGATGCAATGCCAGACGGCGAGGAACTGATACAGCTCAGTCTTTAATAGGTAGCTGGGAGGCGCATTGTTTGCGACTCCTTCCAGCCTTTTGTTAGGTTCGCTGGTCATTGGCTGATGCTTGCGGAATGGCCCTCCGGCCTCAGCTAGCCACCCGCGCAGGCTTTTATGTCTTCCCTGGTCATTGCTCTCTTTCATCAATCAGCTGTGCAGCTTGTTCAGCCGGCCATGCCACACTTCATATCACGCAGTCATACTCTAGTTGAAGAATTTGTTTCCGCTGCCCGGCTTCTGTACTTACTTAAGGCTGTTGAGCGTCTGCAAACGTCCTTATCTGCAACCTGAGACGGGATGGCCCATATATCGCCACATCTTAACAACTCTGAATACACCGTTGGATGGATCGCAGCCTTATCGCATGAAAGGGCCGCTGCTGAGGCAATGCTCGACAAGAAGCATCCCCCGCCCCAGCACAAGCACACGAATGACGACAACATCTACACCCTAGGCTCCATCAACGCCCCAAACGGCGAGCACAATGTGGTCATTGCCAGCCTTCCACCCGGCCGATACGGGACCACGCCCGCCGCCAAAGCTGCTATGCAAATGCTCTCCAGCTTTCCAGCTATAAAATTCGGACTAATGGTCGGGATCGGCGGTGGTATCCCGAGCAATGACAACGATATCCGGCTGGGCGACGTTGTGGTAAGCAAACCGAATGGCACCTTTGGAGGCGTTAGACAATATGATTGCGGAAAAACCACTGCCCGCGGTTTTAAGGAGTATGGCGCATTGAACTCCCCGCCTTGGGTTCTGCTCAACGCGATGGGCGCTCTTGAAAGCCAACATGACACAAGAGGGAGCGCGATACCCAACATACTGGATGCCATGTACAAGTTTTATCCGCTGATGGCCAAACCGCGAAAAGGGCCGGGCTACATCTATCAAGGTGTAGATCATGATCGGCTGTTTCACCCAGATTATGAGCATATAAGCAGCAAGAACGACTGTAATGAGTGTGACACCGAGCAGGAGGTGGTACGCTTAGAACGCCCCGATCGAGATCCTTTTATCCACTACGGCACTATCGCTTCTGGCAACCAGGTTGTCAAGAATGCACGAAAACGGGACCAGATGTTGGAAAATTGTCTCTGTTTTGAAACGGAAGCTGCCGGATTGATGAATGATTTCCCTTGTCTTGTCATCCGTGGCATCTGTGACTATTCCGATACCCATAAGAACGATCGGTGGCAAAGGTACGCTGCAGCTACAGCAGCAGCATACGCGAAGGAGCTTCTTCAGATTACAGATGCCGCGGACATCAAAAGCACACCAGAGGCGCGCGGGGTCATGCATGAACGTTAGTAGTAACCCGTCCATCTTCATTTTATAGACTATTCAAGTTGATGCCTATTAGTGGCGCTTCTCTTGTGGCTTATAGAAATCTTGCTGATGTAGATTTATAGTGCAGGAAATCAAGTCAATCACAAAAGGACTTGCCCTCGATAGAGAACAGCAACAGCTAGATCGAAGGCTGCAGGAGATATTCAAATGGCTGTCTCCCCTTAGCCCTTCAGCCCGGCACTCCGAGAACCAAAAGCAGCGCGTTGAAGGTACGGGTATGTGGATGCTTGAAGACCCTAAATATCTCGATTGGTCGTCAAAGACACCAAAGTGTCAAACACTATGCTGCTATGGAGACCCAGGAGCTGGGAAAACAATTATCACGTAAGTTAAAAAACGTTACCCTTTATGTGAAAGACTGATAATCCAGAATAGATCTCTTGTAATCGATATGTTGGGAGAACACGTGGCCCTAGGATCGAAAATAGGGTTGGCATACATGTACTCCGACTATAGAGACCAGAAACAACAGACGACAGAGAATACTTTAGGTGCAGTCCTGAAGCAACTATTAGGACTTTTACCCCATATTCCAGTGGATGCTCTGAAACTGTACGAAGAACAGGTCACGCAAATGAAACCACTAAAGTTGACAGAAGCAAAAAATTTTCTCCAAATAATCTGTGCGCAGTTCAGCAGAGTATACGTTTGCCTAGACGCACTTGATGAACTATCAGACCTACGAGGCCTTTTGGAATGTCTAAGTGACAGACCTCCCTCCATGCAATTATTCATTACCGGCCGTCCTCATGTCCGGGAAGCTATCCAGAAATACTTCAAGGAAGAACAAAGCATTTACATTGAAGCTCACAGAAGCGATATTCGACGATATATCGAACATGAAATTGGTGGACCCAATGATGTTGAGCCTGATGCTATGGACAAGAAGCTGAGAATGGACATTCTTGAGAAAGTTGTCGACTCAGCTGAGGGAATGTGAGTGTAGCCATGTCTAGCATCACCCGCAGTACTAATATACTAGATTTCTCCTGCCTACACTGCAAGTCCATGCCGTCCTCCAGGCTACAACCATACGCGATCGTCAAGAAGCCTTGGAAACATTGCCGTCGAATCTTGGCGAGGCCTTTACTGGAACAATGACTAGGATAGAGCAGCAGCCGAATGCACTGTCCAGGCGAGCAGGGAAGGTCATTGCGTGGATCCATCTAGCGGAACAGCCGCTCACTGTTGATGAGCTACTATGCTCACTTGCAGTCAAGGATGGTGACACCTCTTTTGACCTCAGGGGTATCCCTGTTAGAGGAACATTGCTAAACTGCTGTCATGGCTTAGTTGTGACTGACCAGGAAACATCCGCCGTCCGTTTAGTCCATTACTCTCTTGACGAATATCTGCGTGGGCAAGACCAGATATTCGGTCTCACCAAAGCGCAATGGCACAGCAAAATCGCATGTACATGCCTTACCTTTCTCAACTTCCCATCTTCGACAGGCAGAAAAGCATCGGATGAAAGCGATATGAAAATATCGATTTTGTCCTACGCCGCTACGCAATGGGGCAACCACCTTCGAATGAGCGAAGACTTGCCAGATGCACCTTTGGACCTTGCCAAAGAATACCTTAACACCAGGTCAAAAATTGACTTCTTGAGCTTCAGACTATTGCGCGATGTCATGTACCCATATGTATCCATCCGTACTATTTCGCCTGTTAATATAGCAGCTTTCTTTGGTATTGCAAGAATCATGTCCGACCTGATTTCGGCTATGAGGGACTTTGACTCCAAAGGTGCATACGGTCAGACACCACTGTCATTAGCTGCACAGAAGGGTCATAAGGCAGTAGTGAAGCTATTGATAGAGAATGGTGCTACAGTGGACTCGGTGGATACTAAATATGGCCAGACACCGCTGTCATATGCTGCAGAGAACGGGCATAAGGCAGTAGTGAAGCTGCTGATAGAGAATGGTGCTGTGGTGGACTTAGTGGACAAACATAACCAGACACCGCTGTCACAGGCTGCAGAGAACAGGCATGAGACAGTAGTGAAGATGTTGATAGAGAATGGTGCTACAGTGGACTCAGTGGATACTAAATATGGCCAGACACCACTGTCATATGCTGCAGAGAACGGGCATGAGGCAGTAGTGAAGCTGCTAGTGGAGAAGGGTGCTATAGTGGACTCAGTGGACTCAGATGGCCAGACACCGCTTTTATGTGCTGCAAAGCGCGGACATAAGGCAGTAGTGAAGCTGCTGATAGAGAATGGTGCTGTGGTGGACTTAGTGGACAAACATAACCAGACACCGCTGTCACAGGCTGCAGAGAACGGGCATGAGGCAGTAGTGAAGCTGCTAGTGGAGAAGGGTGCTATAGTGGACTCAGTGGACTCAGATGGCCAGACACCGCTTTTATGTGCTGCAAAGCGCGGACATAAGGCAGTAGTGAAGCTGCTGATAGAGAATGGTGCTGTGGTGGACTTAGTGGACAAACATAACCAGACACCGCTGTCACAGGCTGCAGAGAACAGGCATGAGACAGTAGTGAAGATGTTGATAGAGAATGGTGCTACAGTGGACTCAGTGGATACTAAATATGGCCAGACACCACTGTCATATGCTGCAGAGAACGGGCATGAGGCAGTAGTGAAGTTGCTGATAAAGAATGACGCTGTAGTAGACTTAGTGGACAATTTGGGTCAGACACCGCTGTCATATGCTGCATGGAACGGACATAAGGCAGTAGTGAAGTTGCTGAAGGAGAGTCAAAGCAGAAAGAGGAGGAGAATGAATTAGAAACCACCTCATCTTGAGATCGCACAGTAATATAACTACCAATACTTAGCTACATATCCCTTCGTAAGCTAAAGATCTCATCATCTCTCGTCTGCTGCTGCGCAGCCAGTCCAGCCTTCTGTCTGTCTTTCTTCCTTCTCTATCCTCTGAATCGAGGCTAGGAATAGACCTCCTTGAAGCTCGAGAACGAGGGGGAATATCGACAACGACCATTAAACTCGTGAGTTACGGACCCATAGCTGATGTGCTGTCTGCTGGAACAAATCTCCCTTCCTAGGAACTAAAGAACCTGCATACGCATACGTATCGGCGGCAAGGGAAAGAAGTCGAGGCCAGGAATGCTCGGAGTAATATGCGTGGTGAAAGGGTAGTATTCGCTGCAAGCATATGCATCTCGAGAAGCGTGGCACTGACTTCCAAACCATGAGCAGCTATGCAGTAGGCAGCGTTAGATGGATCAGAGGATCGTTTCGGCGGAACATTGATCGGGAAGACAGCTTGCTTCGACGTGGTTCTGGTGCTTAGAGGGATGTAAGACTCATGCCTTCGGAGGTCTGTACAAAATGGTGACAAGTAAATGAAAGTTGCTCACCGAAGCGAATGTACTATTGCGATTCTGAATCACAACGGGGTACTTCAGTTCTACTTTCCACAAGAAAAATCATATCTAACTCTTGCACATTTGCCCTCCAGAGAGGTGATCCACAATAGTCATTGCACGTTGGAGTCTTGCTTCCTACTTTCTAAGATGCGTGTGTAGCGGCAAACTTCTCCAAATTCGCCAGCACATACTCGCTCCGCCTGCTGCGGCTCTTCTCCAGATCATGTAACGAAGGACCTGCCCGGCTACTTCCCTTCGCTTGCTGAAGCCGACAGATCGCATCATCCAAAAGTTTCCGGTATGCATTTACCCGAGGACTTGGCAAGGCCTTCTCCTGGGTAACGCGATCATCAAATTGCTCGACGAAGTTGTTGAGGATCTTGTAGCCGCCGTAGTGATAGTGATCGATCTTGAACCTGATACCTTGTTCGGCGTTTGAGAAACGTAAGAGAAGTTTCTGCATTGGTCAGTCTTGTTCATGAAATAAGAAGGGGTACTGACCTGAGAAATTTGCTCAAGGATCTCCGTTACTGTTTGCTGTGTCTCGGCTAGCTTCTCGTTCCAGAATTTGCGATCTACATGAAGATTCTTGCTGGGGACCTGTTGTGACGACGGAACCGGGGCATCGTCTTCTTCTGATGGTGATGAGGATGGGGATGAAAGCTGCTGCGCTTGTGGTGAAGATAGACGCTTCTCTTCTTCGGAAGCTTCAGCGTCAACTAGTGTCGTCTCTGCATCTATCAACGTAGACTGCTCCCGTCGCAGGTACAGTTCTCTTTCCTGTTCCTTACCGCGTACTGATATGTTTTGTTCCTTCCTCGAAGGTGGGGGCATGATCATCTTGCCTAATCGTGTATTGAATGAAGGCGGAGAAGCAATTACGTCGAGCGCTTCCCGTTCCGGTGATGACGGAGTGCTCGACCGCAGCCTTCGAACACGAGCAGAAGCAGCAGAATCCAGCTGCTCATTAGCAACACTAACATTGAGTTGATCAATGTCAAACAAAGGCGTCTTATCTTGGAGGGCTGAGGTCGTGTCGTTGAGACGTCCTTGTAGCACTGATACAGTGAGTGGATCCGAGTCCCGCTCATGATGAAATTGATCTGTAGGTTTCGTCTTTCTGGGAACTCTCTTCGGACCAACCTCGTCAAGGGAATTTGACGCTTTGAATACCTTGATCTCAATGTTCTTGCTGGCCTGAGGGAAACTATGATCCAGGAACTTCCCTACGCCAATGGATGCTCTCCTTGGAGGGTTTTTCATCTTGACAATCATCTGCGCGTTTGCGGCGGCGTAATGGGAAACCGCTGTCTTCAGACCAAAACCGGCAGATCCGTTGCTCTTGAGCCCTTCACTTTCAGGGGTTTCGAAGGCTGAAGCGGTCCCAATACTCTCCTCGAGATCAGCAGAGTCATCAAGAGTTCGAAAGTCATGAGGTAGATTGGAAATTTGAGAAGGCCGGGGGACATTAAGACGAGGACTCCCGTTCTCGTCTACTTTAGAGGTCTGCGAGGCGCTCTTACCAGTTTCAAGATCCAAAATGGCGGGTGCAAGAGCGACATCCTCTATGCTTTCCTCATCAAGATCGAGTCCATCATCAGTTGATTCCGGATCAGAAACCAGAAAGTCGACTTTACGCTTCGCATCACCTCTAAATAACCGAAATTGAGATGGGATTTTCCTCTTGGTGGGCCCCGCAATTCTTGACTCACTATGAAGGTTCTTAAAGGCCAAGTGTTTGCCAGTTTCGGTTGGTACAGAATTGCTCTGACCTTGATTGTGTGCTCGCCTGTCTGATGATATAGTACCTTGGTTTCGTGGGCCTCTTGCACTAAATACAATGATTTGTGCTTTTCGGTGAAGACGATCGTCCGGAATGTCCGGAATGTCTGGATGGTCTGGATGGTCTGGAAGGTAGGTCAAACCCATACCGCGTCGCGGAGTCTGGGCCTTGGACTCGACGAGTTTTGTAGAACTTTCCGTGGCCATGACACCAGGACAAGTAACCTGCGTCCCACTCCTATCAGCAGGTTGCTGTGTGCGTTGCATCCTGGCGGTTCCAAGGGCCCTGTCACTTGGTACGATATTTCTATTTGGTTGTATTGATGGCTCTGAGCTACGTGGCGTGGTACTTAGTCCATGACCTGGAATGCTGGCAGTGAGCTGCGGTGTTAAGTCGGACCTTTGAGTCGCCTTGTTAACAACTTGATTCCTCCCAGATACTGGATCCGTCTTTCGCGCTCTTTTGACATGCCGCCTCTCAGCCGCTGGAGAAGCGCTCCTCTTCCGCCCGTCATTGCCAACATCAGCTTCTTTGTTGCTTGACGATGGAAACAGAGCTGCATTCCTAGGCTTTGGAATCGATATCTCGTTCGCGATCGAAGGGGTACGGTCGGGTGGTAAGATTACAGCTGAGCTTCCAGCTTCTGCTGATGGCCTCCGCTTGTCAACTAAAGGAGCAGGTGATAATGGCATAATCAGAGCTGGACTATCATCTTCTACCCACGGCTGTTGCTTCGCAAACACAGGAGCTGAATTTGGAGTGGTTTTGTGGTCGTTTTCATAGAGCACGCTGTCTTTGGTAGGGCTAGATTGATTGATATCCGAAGGTCTTTGATGTACGCCTGTAGGAGCCTTGCTGAGCCTTTTAGAACGCTCTGGGGTAGCCTTTGGCATGGAAGCATTCGTAGTCGGCTGCACAACTGCCAGATTAACTCGACCTTCGAGCGTTTGGCGCGAGGTGGACTCTTCCATCCGGGTCTGATCACTCAACCGAGCTGATTGCAGGATCTCATTCGCCTGTCCACGTCGTGTTGCAGAATTACTCCCCTGTTTTGTGGTAGAAGCTGTCTGAGCTTGCTTCGTCGTGCCAGGTCGAGAGGATTGTATCTTATGTCCCTTTGGCGTCTGTTTCAGAGCAGATTTGACCGAATTAACAAAAGCAGGTTTATCGCCAAAAGGCTTTTTCTTGGCTTCAACAAGTGGGGCCTCAATTGGCTGCATGCCACTCTCTTTCATGACATCCTTGAGGACTGACCCGAAGCTTTTGCTAGCGTTACCGAGCACTTCTGCAAGTTTCTGTTTGTCCATGGGATGAGAGTCGTCAACCACCTCGACTTCCACCGTTCCTGTATGCTGAGGAAGATCATGGTCGGGTTTATCATCTCCATCGTTTTGATTATGATGTGATTGTCTCATTAGATCTGACGCACCTTTCTTCGAATCCTTCATTTCTGCTTTCGTGCCAAGCTGGTCTGTGGCCGGAAGTCCTTCGAGGCTACGAGATACTTCGACGACAACTTCCGTATCTGCGGGAGGGTCACCGAGTTCAGCACCGGCGCCACATTTTGCACCAACTTGCTCTTGGTCATCAACAGAAACTGTTTGGTGATGGTTTGGATCGTTGTCCATGCTTGGTGACGATGCTACCGCCGATGTCTGGCGTCTTCTGGCAGAAATATCCATGTCTTTTGTTTCACCAATTGTACGTTGACTCTGTTCCTCTTGCTCTGATTGCTCAATATACGATACGTTTGCTGCAGTCCGTCGTGGTCGTGTACTAGCGAGGGTTGCGCTGGCAGCTGCTGCCTCCGACCTTTCCCCATTGATATTATCTTTCTTCGGTCCTTTCTTCCTTGAAGGAGGATGCTTAGATGCAGTCTTTGTGCCGGCAGTCTTCTTGGTACCGTTCCTTGTACTGCGAGGTTTACCAGTCTTGGAAGTTTCGGAAACCTTGCTGTGATCCTTGTCGTCTTGATCTGTTCTCAGATCCTCATCCCAATCTACCGCAGCTTCACCTACTGTGACTGTATTCTTAGCACGGAGAGGTTTCGAGTGACTCCTGCTGGTCCTGCTTCTCGATGCTTCGTTCTGCTTGCGTACGTCTGGTAGAGCGCTAGAGGCTGCCTGCTTCATGGAGTCCGGTTTCGGTGCCATTTTTTTGCCCAAGTTCGCTAGGGTTGGTAGCGGAGGCGGCGGCGCGTCATTGCTTGCTTGAGCAGCTTTAGAGTGGCTAGTTTCTTGTGACCGGGCAGTTGGCTCAGTGTGGTGCAGGATTGTGGTAATCGAGCCCTCCACCGAATGCTGTAGGGCGTTTTGAGCTAAATGCTGAAGATTTGGAGTTTGGACAGGAGATCTGATCTTGGACTTCGTAGGTCTGCGGTGCTGCGTCTGTTGCGGAAGGTGGCCCCCCGTAGTGTATGCTATGATGCTTTCTTGGCTGGTTGATGCTGGATCAGCAGGCGCGATTGACTTCTCTGGCGACTTTTTCATATCCGATGCTCTTCTCATACTACCGCTATCTTCAGCGATCTCCACAGTACGGGAACCTGTCCCAGCCTCACCACCGGCATTTTGATGGAGCTCTTTTTGTACCTGTTGGTTATCGTGCGAAGGGTCTTCGTTGTCCTCTTTCGGATATCCGGGTACAGCTTCTTCCGCTTTCGTACTAGGTAGAGATATAGGTGATATTGACGACTCAGAAGTTGCTGACATATCGATACGAAGACTAGTAGAGACCCTGTGAGGCGCTTGAGGAGTGCGTGATAATACCTGAGTGTCGCCACTGACGACGGCGTCTTGCGAAAGTTCGATCATTACGGCACGACTTTGCTTCTTTGGTCGAGGCCTGATCCCAACTATATCCACATCAAGCTGTTCAATAGCCGAAGTCTGGACACCGGCCGAAATTTTTTTTAGTGAACCGGCCATAGCCTGGCAAAAGCCATTACAATCCTCGTCTGTTACAAAGCGCAAATTCACCTGGTCGATGGCACTCTTGCAACCGTTCAAGATATAGAAACCTGCATTGTGTAGTTGCAATTGCAGCTCCGCCTCTGCTACCGTGTTGTCAAAGCGTGTAACAGTGCCGTCGCTTCTATGGTACTCCATATTGACGATGAGCGGAATCTCTAGGATCTGTAGTGGCCTGTTCTGATGAGCAGGAATTATGAAGAGGAGTCGCTCAGAGACGGTGACTAGCATTTTCGAAGTGACGTCTGATAATACGAGTGACCCAGCGCGGAGAGACAGGATCTGATGAGTCCTTGCCCGGCTACATATCCCTCAGTGCTCTGGCATGCTTCTCTGGAATGAACGAGCGTACCTCTCATCTGAAATGGTCTGGCGATTATCAACATCACGCAGGTATTTGACAGTATCATCAAGCCACTGGACATCGGCAATGAAGCTGGAAGGAGGGCGTGGATCATTGTTGCCGAGCAAGTCTGGTGACCAGAACAGACGCACATCAATATCCGCAAGGGAAATTTCCCGTAGGAGATTCACCGCCAGGATTCGTACAGGGAAATGAGAAGATGCGGTAATTGATCTTCCCAATGAGCACCTGCAGTGTTCGTTAATACGACTGCCCCTAACGAACTAGATGGCACGCAATACCTGTCTCTCGGTGGGCAAAATCTGAGAATAGTTTTGGCTTCTGCGTCTCCTTGGAGTAGGTGGAAGAGAAATTGCGCTGCCTAAGGACCAACTCAACAACATTCCTCTGAATGTGTAGGCCTCCTTACCATGACTTTAAGCCGTACGATCGTGGAATCTTGCGAGAAATGCTTCAATAGCCATGGGATCAATTTGTTCGATATGATTGCTCTCTTCTTTGCAACAGCAAAGCGATCGATTTTTCTTCCTGCCAGCTCAGAAAGTTGCCGGGTGGCTTCCTCTTCATCCTTGAGAAGTCTCACAGAGACCTAGAGCTGATGTTAAGGCAAGGACGAGCGCACCATGGAGTCTCGTTACCATGAGCGAATGTAATACTCTTTCCTGAACCAGGTTTGGGCGTAAATGGAACAGAATCTGTACAGTGTAGATGAAAGAATTGGCTTCGAGGCGGAAGCGGTTGCTTGAACGAGTTCCCTCGAATAGTTTCGCGAAAGAGGCAATATCAGGACAATCGATATCCTGTAAGGGGCATTGCTTGAAGAGTTGAAGGACCTCAGGAGGAATGCTAGATTCGGTTGATTAGCTTTAAAAGTCCATTGCAGAGAGCTCTTTAACAACCTGACGAGGCCTCTTTGTTGAAACGCATCTCGCAGGAATGTATATAGTTCACTAAACCCTCGACGCGAGGTTTCCATATTGATATAAGGATGCCCGTTTTGCGAAGACGTGGCGATCGATGGGATCGAAATGGTCGTGAGCAAAATCAACCAAGTTCAAACGTGGATGGGACAATCATATGTATCATGACGGGCAAAGGCAAAGGTGAAGACGTGCCGGACAACGCGACACGGTATAGGGCACCTGTGCCTACGCTGCGGTAAGATGCTCTGGAGGCCCTCCGACCTTCGGAATTGGTACCATCGCGAGGTTACCAGGACGCCAGATGCCATACCCGATTAAACGATACCTGCTATCACCACTTCCTGTGGGAAGAGTAGTTCTTTCAATCCTTGAATTATCATGAAGCCACGCCATTACCACCTTCATGGCAATTTTTGCATACCTGTTGCACTCTCAGGCAGCAAGAATACATGAGCATGTCGGCTCCATTGTTGGTAGCACTCTGACAATGAGGAGTACGATTCACTCTGCGGACATCGCTCGAGCCTTGTACTATGTCGCACAGCCTTTTTGATTGCCTGCAACAGGTTAAGTCAGGCAAGCGAGTATGTGTGACTACGCCGATAAGGCTGATCCAGTGTTGTTCATCGGCTTACGGAGTATTAGATCAGTGTTTTGCGGTCGTCCGAAATTAGTGAAGTTGACTCTTTTTCAAGACGCGGACCAAATACGGACCAATATCTTGCAGAGGTGAAGGTTGGCGTAAAAACTAATGTCACCAACTTATATCATTTCCGATGTGCCTGACCTTTACCCTACTACTGAACCTCAATTTTGTATCAGGATATGTCCAAGTCCATATTGTATGAATAATATGATAGATCATAGTGCTCTGAATCGCATCTGAGTGGCTGTCGAATGCCCTTCGCCAGCATGTCCCAAAAAGACGAACAAGCTACGAAACAGGTTGCCCGAATATGCCTTTTCCGGTGGCTCCAGGCTCTTCGTTTCGAAAGACGTTCATCCTCTGAGAAACGGGAACATCATCCTGCTCCCAAAACTACGCCAACACGTCTTGACGAATCCCTCCAAGACGCGCCGCTTGATTCATTTTATCTTATCCAGAACGTTGCACAAAGTACGGTCTATTCAGAAGAGACAATACTATATCTAGCCTACGGGTCTAACCTATGTCGCGAAACATTCCGGGAGAAGAGAGGTATTAGACCCGTGTCTCAAATTAACGTGGTGGTTCCAGAGCTGGTTATGACATTTGATCTTCCGGGACTGCCCTACACGGAACCTTGCTTCGGTAACACAAGATATAGACAAGCGCCAGCCCCAGGAGACAGTGTTGGAAACACTGAAAAAGACAGATACCACAAGCAAATGTGGCACAAGGGTCTTGTTGGGGTCGTTTACGAAGTCACCCTGGCAGACTACGCCCATATAATTGCAACAGAAGGAGGCGGTGCTGCATACAAGGACGTACTGGTCGATTGCTACGCCCTACCAGATGATCCGAGTCTTCCTGTCCCAGCTATACCATCCGGAACAGCCTTCAAAGCGCACACCCTTTTTGCACCTCCTCCGGCGTCAGGAGGTGGCCGATTAGCTCGACCAGATCCTAATTACGCTCAACCCAGTCCTCGCTATATGAAGCTCATCACTGATGGCGCTACGGAACTCGTTCTGCCGTATGAATATCAAGAGCACCTGCACTCAATTCGTGGCTATCAGATGACTAGTACGAAACAGCGATTGGGCCAGTTCATATTTTTGTCAATCTGGGCGCCTCTTCTTGCTTTTATCTTTGGGGCAGGACGGACGTTTGCAGACAAGAAAGGAAGATACCCTCCATGGTTGACAACACTTGCTGCGAGCATATTCATTGGTGCATGGGCAAGCTATGATAGCTTTTTCAAGGATTTATTTGGAGACGGCGAGCGTACGATAGGGCTCGTATCGAGCCTGAACAGCCTGGATGAGAAACGGCCTTTACTGTTCAATTTGGCAGAGAGACAGCACGAGATCGTACCAGAGAAAAGACTAGAATCTACCGATACCATGGTGTAGAATGATAATGATAGGAATAGTTATTCCCATGCTTGCCCGAAGTATCCGTGCTGCCGAATGCGGCTTTTGCCTCGGCACAAAGATTATTTTGGCACAGCATTGATTGGATAGAAGCCTCGCTGACATAATGCATGCATCGTCGACGCCACCCTGCTCCACGGTTCATCTACTTCAATTTCAATTCCATCCCACTTCGACCCCTTCAAGACTGATTCCTCAGGCTGCCACACGAACACCCGTCTTCAAACAATACGATTGCAAAGATGGCAGCCCTCCGATCTACTTCACGATTACTCGCTCCATCAAGATCTCTTTTCCGACCAGTCGTGGCCTCGCGATCATATGCAAATATTGCCAGCATTGACACATCTGCGAGCAGGCCTCCCACACCGGCATCCCAGACCAAGCCCGTCAAAGAACCAGCGGCAGATGGAGACTCGAAGATCAAAACC